AAATGGCCAAAAAGGGATATCTAACATTTGCTTTGCCAGAAAAAAAAATGAATTGATTATGTACCAGTTGAGAAAAAATTTCGAATATGTACCTTCAAAAGTGATACCCTAGAACCGATATATTGGCTAAGGAAAAGCAGAAAATCTCGCTTTCACTTCAAAGAACGATGTTCGGTATAACTGGGAACAAAATCGAGGATTGAGCAAAAATTCATGTTTCGCTGAAGATATATAGTGTTATTTCAATGTAAGCTAGCAATTAAACCATAAAAAAGCACTTCTTTGAGATAAGGATGTAAACGTGTAGTATTCGAGTAACAAATGATACAGACACACCTCGTCTCCTTAAGGGCAACGACTTTTTCGAAAATCATCTTCAAAAACTTGTTGCAGCTTCATTTCAACAAGTATTGGGTTGCCGCTTCAAAAGTTCTTTTAGGCTAGATGATGAAAATGCTTATTGTTAGATCCATGAAAATTTCATTATCTCTAATTCATCTGTTAATCTAACTAAGAGTCGTTTTTCTAAGAAATCTTTCCTGCAGAGAGGATTTTCTGCTCGACTCAGAAGTTCTTCAAAAGCCGATAATAAGGCTTTTCAAGTTCTTATATAATTTCAGGGAAAATCGAAAAGCTTGAAATTCTTTGATGTGAGAAACTAGCAGCAATTAAATTCGCAGCATACTCACTGAAGCAGTTTTTTTTCGAATTTAAGTTCAGATCAGAGATCACAATCCCTTCCATAACTCGTCGACATTTTAGTGGCCCAACGTAGAGACCACTTCATGAAAGTTGGATGGTTATGGCAAAATTAGACCTACGTTTGAATCAGCCTTATAAGCTCACGATTAGCGACTATCCTAAGTTTTGTTTACTTCAGATCGCAGAACGAATAGGTAAAATACGAACAGTGACACAACTGCAACGGAGAAACGACAGCGCGACTCTCGTATTCGCTGCACTACTAGTCTTAAACTTTTGATGTATGCCAAAAAAGGATGCTCGTCGTTCACTTTTCTGTTCTCGTCTCTTCTAATTGGTGCCTTGTCCTAAATCGCCGTACGATCGCCTATACATTGCATTGGGTTCTAAGTGAGTATTTGGATAATAACGCAAGAATAAACGTTTTTCAGAAGTGAAAAAATGGACTTATAAAGGAAAAACTGAAATTTTGAGTTTTTATGGATGACGATGATTAAAACAAATCTCTCAACACTTTCAAGATCCCTGATATGAGCCATAAAATCACAGCACTATTTGTCAATTCTATAAATATTGCTCTTTCCATAGATTCTGCTGCCATGAAATAACGTGAATAGAGAAGAAGACTTTGTTTTGCGCAAGCTTCCAGGTGCCCAGAACTCTTTTTAACCTATTTCAGGACCTAAGCTATAATGGCATCAAAAATTCTGAAAATGCATTTGAAAAGAAGGTTCCGATGCGACACTCCAATATCATGGCAAAAACAGGAAACTACACTAGTATTCGCTGGCATACGAATGGCCTAAGCACTTGTTTGAGAGACTTTTTCTCAAAAACAGATGGCGAGTGAAATGACGAAGATTTAGCTCATATATGGAGATATATATGATGCAGCGAAATGTATTTTAAGAAAAAAAGTGAGTGGCTGACTATTTCAAATCAATTTTCTCATAATAAGAACGAGAGATTGTAGCGTTCAATTATGAAAACATTCTTAAAAAAGCAGCAGTCTCGATATCTACGAAAACTGACATTTGCAAAGGTTGCTGTATTAGTTTTGAATAATCTGCTAGCAGAAGGGAACTTCATGGCATTAATAAACGTGTCAGCAATGTTTAACGACTATAAAAGAAAAAGTGGGGTGCATGAAGCGTTCCTATTGAGCTTTCAACAAAGGCAAATTCTATGTCCTTCGATCTTATCTGTTTTCTCAGTGATGCGTTAATGAATCTTTAACAAACCTCTCTTTCGACTAACTTTTCGTTGCCGTTCTCGTCATTCTTAGATTTAGAAGGTGTCTCTACCTGAACAAGGATAACTGAAAAATCATAATATTTTCCAGAAAGCTCGCATGTAAAACACTTTAAAGAAGCAATACCAAATCTGCCTCCTTAGCTTTCTTGACATTTTCTTCCTTCTTAGCTTCTTCTTCTTTTTTCAACTTTTCCGCTTCATCAGCGATTGCTTTCCAAGCCATCTTGCATAGTGAAGTGTCTCTTATACGGCACGAATTCGTCAGAAAGTTGATGAATTTTGCTTCCTATGAACAGCTTCGCATAGAGGCTTTATCGTCATAGAGAGCAGAATAAATTTGTATTGCAAACAAAGGTTATGGGAGTACTGGAAAGCAGTACGCTTAATTTTCAAAACACTAGCAAGAAATAGTATCAGCAATGGGTTACAACACATCAACACAGGAGTTATCCCGACTTGCTCAAATACTGCCTTGTTGTGACAAACACAGACATAGATACGACTGAATATCAAAGTGCGGATAGCAACGCACCTTGCGCGGGATATTGCTGTAACCCTGGATGTTCTTTAACAACGACTTCAACTTTGGCTCTTTGACAAACTCAATCGCTCGTTCCACTTGTTCACACCAAGCATTTTGCTTCACCTCTCCCTGAAGCTCATCATAAATTATATGGAGGATCTAAAGAGCGAATGCACACCTTTGCTTCCTTTTCAATGTAATTCTTTGATCCGTACTTCTGATTTTCACTTATGCATTTGACGTGCTGCTGATAAGTGTAAGGTCTAAAAATAGCAATGAATGTAAAAGAGAAAAGTA